CACACAACACTTGACACCGGTTGTTGTGAAGTATAAAAATCTGGAAACAAAGTTATCCCTCGGAAGCATCAATCACAACAAAATTACAAGAGAGTTGCAGACTCAGTTTGATTGAGTCTGTACATGAGGGAAAATGAATAAGTGCAACATCCCTCACGCTCCCTAGCACCGGCTTGAGCGGTACTCAATTATCAACACTTAAAAGTGCTAGACTCAATTATTCCGAAGGACCAGAAAAATATAACAACACTGAAGTAAAGTACGGGGCAACTTTTTACGGCTGCTACACAACACTTGACACCTGCTGTTGTGAAGTAAAAAAATCCGGAAACAAAGTGATCCCTCGGAAGCATTAATAACAACAAAAATACATGAGAATTGCAGACTCAGTTTGATTGAGTCTGTACATGAGGGATAATGAATAAGTGCAACATCCCTTACGCCCCCTAGCACCGGCTTGAGCAGTACTCAATTCTCAACACTTAAAAGTGCTGGCATCAATGATCCCGAAGGACCAGAAAAATATAACAACACTGAAGTGAAGTACGGGGCAACTTTTTACGGCTGCCACACAGCACTTGACACCTGATGTTGTGAAGTATAAAAATCTGGAAACTGAATGATCCCTCGGAACCATTAATCACAACAAAACTACAAGAGAATTGCAGACTCGGTTTGATTGAGTCTGTACATGAGAGATAATGAATAAGTGCAACATCCCTCACGCCCCCTAGCACCGGCTTGAGCGATACTCAATTCTCAACACTTTAAAGTGCTGGCATTAATGATTTCGAAGGACCAGAAAAATATAACAACACTGAACACAGTTTTTTCATAGTTGAAATGTTTGCGATTTTTTTTAAATTTGATTTAATGAGCGGTTTTCAAGATTTTACATGAGCTGTGTATGTCCAGTCTGTTTAGTAGATTGTTAGTATAGATTACGATTTTTACGATTTTGATGTCATATATAGGATCTACAATGTAAAAGTAAAACACTAATTTCATCGGTTTATACATGATAAACTTTTACAAAACCTGGTTGTGCGAACATTTTTGGCACAAAATCCTTTGGGTCACTAGCGATGCCGTCCTTTGTCTTAGTCAACCTCTCAGTAAAAGCTAAGTACTCTCTCCCTGATGCAGTTGTGAGTAGCACTACATCTTCCCACAGCATTGTTTGATGCTCCTGTCTACCACGTAAACCAAAGAGAAGAATATTGTTCAGCCAGATAGTGTTAGACAAAGCTTTGAACAGGTGTTTCTGTAAATTGATAAAAATAAGTTACATTTGACGCACGACGCGAGAAAACCGGTCTTAATCAGTGTGGCAATACCACGTGACATTGACGTCATTTTCGGCATCATTTCCAAGACAAATGTTGCTCGATTCGGAAAAGAAAATAGCCGTAAATATTTTATTTCTGTACCAATTTCTTTGGGATATGCACCAGTCTACGGGGAAAAATATAAGCTTTCCATAGAATATTGGATCTTCGTCAGTATATAATATAGATAAATACAGAATCCCTAAAGAAAGCCCAACACGGCAAAATTGAAAATGTTGCAGGCTCGGTTTGATTGAGCCTGTTCATGGACGGTACTGGAAAGTGCAAGTTACCGTCAGGCCCCCTAGCACGGCTCAAGCAGAATTTTTACATTTAAGCATATTGAACTGGTAAAAATTTAGAATTTTGAAACATCCGAGATGTGTTATCATATACGGCGGGTTCATCATGGAACCTTCAATGTGACACGGAAGTGCCATTCCATGAAAATCGGCATATGGTCCCCAAGTAAAAAAATGCAGCCGTTTTATCAAACACTTTGCCTAACCTTGGAAGTTGCTTGTATTAGAGCGGGCTTCAGTTGCAAGCTATTTCGTTTTTTGGGCGTTATCTGGTCTACGGGCCATAATTAGAAAGTAGGTTTACATCAACCGGGAGTACGGAAGGCAAAACTCTACCTAAATATGTTCATATTTTTATAATGAATGACATAAATCTTACATTTTACTTCAATTGTCAAATCTGGCACCAGTTTCAAGTCGAAAAAAAAGGACTACAGTTTAAAGCCGATTTTAGAATCCGTTGCAAATGCGATGCAACATGCCTACCCGTTCTCTTTCTACTATTTAGTTTTTCATTGTTGATCTTTCACAGAGAGATTATGAAAAACTGATTGTTCCTTATAGCAAAACACTTACTTGTATCGCAATAGTGCACGTCAAATCACGTAGATTTAGTCCTGTCGGAAAATGTATTGCTCATCTTTTCCTATGTAGTTAAATGTGTTTTATTCTATTTCACAATTGCGAAATTGATAAGAAATATATGTGCTCTCAGTGAGAGAAAGAGTTAATATAAAAAACACTTTTGTATGATATGGAAAGGGTTACACTTTAAACGCGAGTGTTTGTTAAGCTAAAGGTATTTTTTTCAGTTTATTCTGACAACACACTGACACTCGTGAATGTGACGAAACAGGTTCTTCTGTCCTCAAAAGAGAGACTTTTAAAAGGTATATATTTTTCTGGAATTGTTGTATAATAAAGTTCTATAGAGTTTTGATAAACTAAAACACAATTTGAACTTGGAACTTTGGCCTTGTAAATCTGATAGAATTGTTACTTAGTTGCATTACTTATAATTCTCTATTTATCAAAAAGACCCAAAATAGCCATGAATAAGAACGAGAATGGACGCCATGTGGAGTAAACAAAGTAGAAAATAGTTAACAGATAAATGATTTTACAAACCCAACATCCATCGATCAAAATCAAAAAATTTCTTGAAACAAAACATTCAAACATGATTATCAATAATTACATGTATATAATATTTACATTAACAGCTGTAAATAGCAACATCGGCAAGATCTATGACTGGGGTCCATATGCCACTGATGCGCCAATTGAATAATTGATAGCTAACATAAGGCCTTAGTAAAATTACGATTACATTTGAAGAGTAATTTCAATTCTTATCCTTCAACTGTCAAATGACTTACTTCTTTATTTACATATCAGATAATTCACTTATTTAGTATATGCGTCACGTTTATCATGTTTTAGATTTTAATGTGCGATCCTTTTTTAATCTTAAAATGGGCTACAAAAAGCCTGTTTAGGACATTTGCAGGTCATGCCGCGTGCAATAATCCATGCATTTACAGCCAATGGCCACATCGATAAGAAATAGTCCCAAATAGCCCTATCGTTTTTATTCAGTTGAAAGAGACATTATTGTTAAAAAAGTTCTACTCGATTTAAATGTTTTCAAACCACAAATATTCCGTTCCCTTCCTCTCTTTACAATGTATATTGGTTGAGCTCTCTGATAAAAGCTGAGTTGACTGATATAATTAACTAAATTTGTCAGATATGCAGTTCATCAACAGAAATAAATGCAATTATAAAATAGATAGTGTTTAATAGTGTTCTTAAGTTAACGAAGTTATAAATCCAGTTCACGAAAACGGTTACCGTGGGTATGAAAACAGGATATAAAAATATTTTTATCAACGAGTGCCACTGTGTTAAAAAGCTTAATCCATCATATACTAAAAGATTGCTACAGGTTCTTTATATATATACAAATGGCTCTTTACAAAAGAATAACATTTGACTTTAAAATTGCCGCGCGTCGAGGCGTAAACCCTTTTTACAGCATACAAATCGAAGTGATCCGGAATTTGCACGTTCATTGGACAGGCCAGCTAAGTCAATCAGAGGCCTGAAACATTTTCAATTTTGCCGTTTTAGGGGAAATTTAGGGTTTCTGTTTTCTATTCCATGTTTAGTTATTGCTACATAACACAAATAAATGTTCATAATCATTACGTGTGAAAGAACAATGATTAAAGAGTAAATCAATTTCTTTACAAATACTGCAGTACAGACAAACAATTTTACTACTTTTAAAATCACTTAAATATCGCAAGCGAGGAAAAATTATTTAAATATTCATTTGTGTTTATGTAAATTGTATAGAAAATAAAAGTTTTTTCATGGTTACACAATTATAGAAAGAGAACGGAAGGCATGTTGCTTTGCGCATTTGCAACGGATTCTAAAATCGGGCTTTAAAACTGTAGTCCTTTTTTTTCGACTTGGAACTGGTGCCAGATTTGACAATTGAAGAAAAATGTAAGATTTATGTCATTCATTATAAAAAAAATGAACATATTTAGGTAAGAGTTTTGCCTTCGCGTACTCCCGGTTGATGTAAACCTGACGTTTTTTTAGATCATGGCGTAGACCAGATAACGCCAGAAAACGAAAAGGAGCTTGCAACTGAGAAGCCCGCTCTAAAACAAGCAATCTTCCAAGGTTTAGGCAAAGTGTTTGATAAACGGCTTATATACTGACGAAAGATCCAATATTCTATGGAAAGCTTATATTTTTCCCCGTAGACTGGTGCATATCCCAAAGAAATTGGTACAGAAATAAAATATTTACGGCTATTTTCTTTTCCGAATCGAGCAACATTTGTCTTGGAAATGATGCCGAAAATGACGTCAATGTCACGTGGTATTGCCACACTGTTAATGACACTACAATAAATGTGCACTACAGCGATTTAAATGACGTCACTCTTATTGCGTATACACATGTAAACACGGAAATGTTTTTTATCGTGTGTTATTGTTTTTAAGTGTAGATCTATTATCGTTAGGATTCACAGAAAAGTTTATATGATGGAGGAGGAGTTAGAAGTAAGTGTCTATAATGTATAATTTATGAAAAACAGCAACAAAAACATATCATGTTTATTAATCAGAGCATCGAATTGATAAATATTTACTGTTGGTATTAAATTTAACACTGACGTTTACAGTACTGTACTCACTACTGTACTGTACTGTATTATTATTAGTCTGTATATCCACAGTACACCAAGAATAGACAGAAGAATAAATTAATCGGCAACGTACATCGGTGCCTTTAAATAGAATACATGTATATTTAGGTTGTTTTGATCTTAATTAGATCTAAGTCTATTATAGGGGTTAATCAATTGCTTTCATATTTTATAGACTAATCTAAATTTAGGTTGCTAATCAGCCGCAAGTTACTTTAATACTCTTTTTCATTATTCATTTAGAATATGTTTCTATAATTCATTTAGAATATGCAAGCAATAAAATAATATAGATCATGGAATGAAAAAAAAAGTTTTTTAGATTTAATATTGTCTTTTATTGATTAATTAGCACGCTTAAGAATTGCTGAGAGAATAGCTCAGTGGATAATGCAGTGGCCTCACATTCAAACAAATCGAGTTCGTATCCTGGCTGATTCCAAATTTTTATATCCGTTTTTTATTCATTATTTTTTTGTCATTCATAGGATCTGAAATCCCTCTACTCGGATTACTTTGAAAGAACACCTATCAACTCACAAAACAGATTTTTCGAGAGATACTGACTTTGATTTTTCAGACGTGGAAAAATGTGACACTAGTGCAACGACGGCACTGCGGGACCACGTTCTTCTCGCACAAAAAGGTAATAATAGGAAAATTTGTAATAATAGGAAAAGAACAATAATGTAGCAATACACTTATAAATAATTTAAACAAATATCTGCCATGCTTGAATTTTTTCAAAGCGTATTTTTTATAAGATTCAATACACTAAAGAATTTAAAAGAATGCATGTGATTTTTATTCGGACGATATCATAATTCCTATGCCCGTGTTTACAAAAATCGTGGTTTTAAAAACTTCAAATTTATGTTTTACTTAGATATTCTTTTTGTAATTTTATTTGAACGTGATCTATATAATGAGTGCATAAGGCGTAGTGTTGCCACACGTGACTCAGAGGAAAAGTTTGTCCATCTTACTTTTATCCTGAATATTTTTTTTATTTTGTAGCAAAATATTTACAATGATATAAGGACAATATGTTTAAATATATACTCTAAACTACCATCTTATAAAAATCAGATATACATCAGTACTAGGGATATATCTACTAACATACTACAAACCACTACTTGTCAACTCATATAGTATCAGTACAAATACAAGTACTGCTGCACCAGTATATTTAGTTTTGAAAGCAAATGAATACCAGTGCTTTAACATTTTAGGGATTTTTCTATCATTTTACCAAGTCTGTACACAGTTAAAATATCAGTCTTTTAACTTGGTCTTACTATTTTCTCTAAAGTTAAAAGACTTAATTTGTGTATAGATTGTGTAATTAATTACTTATTGGACTATATTTTAACAAGCATTCGTTATATTTTAGGGCTGGTTGCGTTGGTTAAGACAAAATACAAAATATATGTATCATGAACACTGTAGTATTGTTAAAAAGCACTTCAAATCGCAGCAGGTAATTAAGGCTTTTCAATATTCTAACAAAAAAAAATATTTTAAGGACATGCGCGGTGTTCAGTTGATGCGGGGTTCGCACATCTAAAGATTAAATTCCGGTGGCATGATTTAGAAACACTTCATCAGCTGGCCCATGTTAAAGAGATGTCATCTACAACCAACAGCCTGTATGTTACCCCAAGTTGTCATGGCGACAATGGAAACCCGTTCTAGAGGGATTTTTCAAACCAATTATTGTTTTAAGGTAACATATGTTTATCTTATTTAAATGAAAATGTTGAAACTCAGAACTCCAGACTCAGAAAATATCTTAAACATGAAAAATTAAGGGTTAATTTTTTCTTTAATCGTTTACAAGAAGCTTTATTTTCTTCTTCGATTTAGTTTAACTTTATATTATGAAGACAATGTAGATACTGTATAAATGATTCCTTAAAGAGTAATATAAGCTCTATCTGTTAAAAACTTATTAATAAAATTAAACGTCCGAGGCGAGTGGTTAAGGGCGTTGACTTCAAACTACTTGCCCGCTCACCGCTGTGGGTTCGAATCCCAACAGGGATTTTGGATTCTTTCATGTGAGGAAGCTATCCAGCTAGCTTCCGGAACGTCGGTGGTTCTACTCAGGTGCCCGTTCGTGCCTGAAATAATGCACGGAAGGGCACCTGAGGTCTTCCTCCACCAGTAAAGCTGGAACGTCGCGATATGACCTATACTGTGTCGATGTGACGTATAACCCAAACAAACAAATAATAAAATTAAAAAAAAAAAAAAAAACAGAAAAAAACATAAGGAAATGGTTCTGTAATCACATAAAAAATAGAAATTGTTGTTACATAGAATGCCTCCACATGTATATGTTCGTGATCAGCATAAAATGTTTCGGAACAAAACATTATTCGCAACATATATCCAGCTAATACACTTTAATGTGAAATTCTGTAACATTTTTTTTCTGGTTTAATTAGATTTATATGTATACTATACGGATAGTCTTATTTTACAAAAAAAAATATTTTACACACATTTACAGTTGATGAAAATCAGTCATGTGACCAAGTTTACTGTCATGCTCTAAAAACTGTTTAAGCTCTTCCGTTCTTTTAACTTACCGAGTTGTAAATGTGCTCCGAATAATGTTGTTTTTTATTTATTAACGCATATAAGGAAATAAGTTTGCGTTATTTTTCATTACGGATATTGATATTTATCATTTTTCTATTGATAGAAAATTCCTGCACTTCCGGTTCCAGTCGAACCAGTGTGGTTATGGGCAAAATAATACCTGAAGGCGAGGAATATTAGATTCAAGTCTTGAAAGAACACGGATTCCGGTTCAGTTCATGTGTCCGTCCAAGCATTATTACGCATAGGGAATGTCAGCAGTGTTGCGAAGTGTGCGTGTGTTCGTCAGTCAAGACAGTTAATCATATTATCAGTGATTAAGGTGAGCTGACTGTTTATAACAGCTAAGTGGCAGATTTAAATATCCAGAACTGTTGTTGTTTGTTGTGTTAAAATATACGGCCATTGTTTCTGTTATAAAGAAAAAGAGAACTTTTTTATTTAACTATGTTTTTTTCCATAAGTATAAACGTTAAACGTAGACTTATATACTTTTGTTGATTTATTTCTTTTGGTATTTACCGCTAAAAATTTGTCTCATTTCAATCTATGTGACCCGGGCATACTAAAACCCCACCAACACACCTGTGTCTTCCCGTTCAATATATATTTGTTTTTCAAGCAGTATATTAGTCTGAAAAATTTCCCGTAAAGATGATGAATAATTTTGTCCACATTAAAGGTATATAGTGTTGTAATTGTTGAAAAAACAATTATTTGCGCCATGTATGACTTGCTTATGGGCGTTGTTATACGTTGCTAAGCCAACGCTAAAATCGAAATAAGCGGGAAGTCTATAGGTTAAATAACTTAATTACTAACTTCTTTACAGCTTAAGCATACTAATGCAGTGAACTTAAGATTTAAATATTATTGCCGTTTTAATTTTCTAATTAACAACGTTAAACGTCAAAATTTTTCGACGTCATGTGTTTACAAAGTGATCAAATATATAACGTTCGTTAAATTGGTATATCTAAATACCTAACCCTTTGATTTGAAAACGGTCTTCACCGTCGTATTCAGAAAGAAATTCTCTACAATAATATGTGAAAAACAGAATTTCGAAAAAAATGTCATTAAGACCGGTTTTCTCGCGTCGTGCCTCATTTGTATCTTATAACAGTATTATGCGATTGAAGGCAGTAAATCAGTTACCATGATATTGTATATCATCCATAACTCATAATGAGATCGAAAGAACTTATGCTGGGTTTTTTCTAAATTTCTTGACAGCAATAAATTGATAATTATGACTGATTGACAGTTGTATTGATTGACATTCAAACGATACGTCACAGTTTTCATGACGTCAGTTTTACTGTGGTAGTCTATGTATAGTGTAGCCACATGAACGGCTCATGTAAACATGAAATTTTAGTGATTTTATTGTGTGTTAATGTAGGATCGATATTTAAATTTTAGTGGTTGTGGATTTCAGCAGATCATGGAACAGGTAAATGGTTTATTTATAAAAAGAATTACTTGATCTACTGCAGATATGTCATTCTATGTACATTAGAAATATAACATATATGCTAAGAGCTATTAGATCTGATTTTATAAAGATAACATGGGCCATTTTCAGAATAATGCGTGATAAGACATAGCCTATTTAACTGATGGTCCTTTACTTACCATTGCCAAGAAACCCATTTTGCTTCAATATTGCGATCTCTTCACCAGTGAATGGATCTGCACGATTTTTCTTGTTGCCTTTTCCCAGGGCTGGGAATCAAAACTGCGTCGTATCCTACAAAATGTAAACAAACGCCGCCATCTTGGAACGAAAAACGTATGTTTTTGTTTATAACTCTTTTTGTTGGAAATGACTGAAAACCAGATATATGTATTAACACGCTACACTATTTTCCGCTTCGTTCGGTATATGTTGCTTGCACAACTATTTTGTTAAACAAAAGTTATAGCGAACTTGCAACTCTAAGCGAAGCAGAATGCTTTTGTGAAAATGTGTGGATACGACGCAGTTCATATTGCTTTATCCATCGTTTTTCCTTCAAATAAATTATATACTCATTTCAGAGTTTACCATTTACTTCGAAATATAATTTTGCATCATTTACTAAAATTTCATTAGAAAGAGATGTTTATTTTCTAAGAAAATAATGATTGTTACGAAATGATACGACGCAGTTGAAAATAAAATATGATACGACGCAGTTGTATTTTTTTGGCAGTCTTTTCAACAGGGATAATTTTGGCAATATATGTCTATTTTATTGAATAATCACTTGCGCTAGATAAAAAACCCAGATTTTATGCGGTGTATAACTAGTGTATATAGCGATGTTCTGTTGCTTTTGATTATTTAGAATATATTGTGTCGTGCCCAATATAACATTTAATTTGAAAGTGTACATTGCGGAAGCTACTTCACAGTTAAACATGAACATGTTACTTAATTCATCATAATTTTTTAAAATAATTTCTTATATTTTCCTGTATGTTCAATATTATCCCTATTTTTTGGCATATAAATATATAGAAGTCTATGAACCTGAATTTATTTTGGCTAGCTAAGCTCTAAGTTAACTGTGATTCTGCATGTTCTGGGTAATGAATGTTTTTTTTTTAGGTTTGTCTCTACACATTAGCTTTACTGGGGGCGAAGACCTCAGATGCGCCTTTGTGCATTATTTCAGGCAAAATGTTGCACCTGCAGAGAACCATCGACATTTTGTAACTACATGTAGCTTGATAGGTTTCCACACGAAAGAATCAAAAGTCTCTGGTGGTTTTCGAATTCATAGCAGTTCAGTTCAAGTGATTTGAATCAGTAAACATAAACAGCTCGGCTTCGGTCGAACACCTGTCTGATTTTTTTTCAACAATTTGTTTACGTCAGCTGTACAAATAAGCAGTTTTAGTTGTTTTTATTAATTTCTGGCGTGAGGTTTTAAGATTATAAATATTTAAATTAATTATAAAGACAATAAAATTTAACTTTCTTATTGAAATGAAATATTTCCTTTATCTCTAAGATTATTTTTACTTTGATATTTCGGTGCGAATAGCAGAGAAATGTTCAATGTAAACAGGGGGTTACCCGCTTTGAAGTCATTTTCTGAAAAAATTTGTTTAATTTTTCAGGCAATTCATTTTCAAATAAAAATCACACTTTAGTTTGAAGGTATGTTTAGTGAAAACTTCTTCAATACTATTGAAACGTCCTGTCGTGCATACATCTGTATCAAATTTATCGGCGCAAAGCGTAAAATACCTTTGCAAAACGGACACCTTCTTTACAAAATAATTTGTAGTTTTATCATTTGTAAATTGATTTTGAAAATTTAAGTTTTTTAGTGGAGAAGAATGATACTTTAGTGCAAAAATAGAAAATACATTCCGTAGACCTGTTCTTATCGGCGATAAAGAAATGCAATACGACAAAATCGGCGCGCTGAACATAAAATGACTGAACGGAACGCATACCCTATATATCGTAGCTTGACCATTTATAATAAAATTTAAAAAAATTAATGTTCAGTTTGAAATAATAAAGCTCATCTGTTCCCACCGATTATTAACAAAATGAATACAATAAAATCGGCACGTAAAAGACATAATAACGGACTTGCCGGAAATTGTTGCTAATTATAAGTAACAAAGGTAGGCATGCATACTTCTCTTCAGATAGCAAGAGACCTTTACAAAATTTGTAATTCTTTAAAAAAAAACAAGAAAAAAACAAACAAAAAAAACAAACAAACAAAGGTCATTCCTGATTGGGGAGGTCAAAGAGAGGTGACCCTGGAATATTGAATTTTGTATCAAAATTCTGTAAATGAAAAAAGTAACCACCCCAATTCCGAAATCACGGAACAAGTTTAATTATAAGCATGCTTAGGCAACTCTAGAACACGTTGTCATATGGGTGTGCGATCACGTGTTTCAATGTATATTGCATTTGATACAGCTTTCCGGAATTTGTAGATGCTTATGACAGGAACTAAAAATGCGACCGAAATATGAAGCCTTAATCGAATTTTTATTACATTTTCCATTTTAGTGGAACAAACCTCTGCTTTTGACTTAAGTTGTAAACAAGAAATGTTGTTGGACGTTATATTAGCATACCTAGCACATAATTTAATAGCTGAACCAATATGCAGCCTGCAATGAAAATACAACTGCGTCGTATCATATTTTATTTTCAACTGCGTCGTATCATTTAGTAAAAACCATTATTTTCTTGGAAAATAAACATCTCCTTCTAATGAAATTTAAGTAAATGATGCAAAATCATATTTTGATGTTTATGGTGAACTCTGAAACGAGTATACAATTGATTTGAAGGAAAAAACGATGGATAAAGCAATATGAACTGCGTCGTATCCACACATTTTCACAAAAATTCTGCTCCGCTTCGAGTTGCAAGTTCGCTATAACTTTTGTTTTACAAAATAGTTGTGCAAGCAACATATACCGAACGAAGCGGAAAATAGTGTAGCGTGTTAATACATATATCTGGTTTTTAGTCATTTCCAACAAAAATAGTTATAATCAAAAACATACGTTTTTCGTTCCAAGATGGCGGCGTTTGTTTACATTTTGAAGGATACGACGCAGTTTTGATTCCCAGCCCTGCTTTTCCGTGGGATTTGGATATTTTTCTTTAAAAAGTTTAAGTCGCAACCACATCACGGGTGTGCTTAAACGTGCACTGGTCGTGATGTTTGTGCCATAATCGTGGTCCCTTATATATCTGTTGACACTGGCAAGAATGCTCCCCATACTGTTTGGCTCGTACTCGGAACCATCTACCTTTCTCAAGTTCATAAAAACCTTGAAAGCAACATATTTAGCTTAGTGTTTGGAATTTCTAAAATATCTCGTTCTTCTCCGTCAGTTTGAAACCAAGTAGATCAATCCGTTCATATCACTTTTGGTTTTCTTTATTGTATTATCGTTTTTCATAATTTCCACAAAAGCATAAGTGTCAGCTGGCTGTCCTTGTTCTGCGATTAGTTTATCTAAATTCATCAAGCGATTCGCCAAAGATTTCAACGTCCTCTCGGCGGCCATTTTTTGCGATGCTGTTGTCAGTTACGTAACATACATACGCGCGGACGTTCTGCCGTTACTGGACAACAGGTGCGTGATGACCGGAAATAGTCTCAATATGGGATTTTGGCCAATTTGGCACGTGCATTGTTTTTGGCTTGCAGCCTATTTGTTTTGGAAAAGTTGTTCCGGTTTGGTGGTTTCCTGCTTACATTTGTTAGTGCAGGATTGAACGGGAAACCAGTTGCAATCGTGCCAATCGCAACTTTTCGGCCTTTCCGTCACTCTTCGGATTAATTATAATAGCCGAGGTTGTTCCGATTGCAATCGTAACAATTGGGGCGATTCCGTCATACTGCGGAATCAGACGAAATAATATTACGGAAATCTAAGCTATTTTAGTTACTTTGGAAATCCCAGTTTGTTTTTCTATTTTTACTTGATTCCGTTTAAATTCTTTTTTAAGACGCAAAAGTTAGTTTCTTTTATAATTGGTTTTTGTCTTTATTAGTGTTATAAAATAGAGAATGGTTACTGTAGTATTATTCCGTCTCCAAAGGGCGGTCCTGCTTGCCAAAATATCGTGACCGTATCACGCAGAATATTAGTGCATGGTCAAGTTATATTTAGATCTACTGACATAGTTTAAACGTCTTGCTGAGGTAATCTAAAAATAGCCCATGCATGCATATCATTAACCTTACCCTCCTGTCCATAGATATTTTAGGTGTAACATTGTTGATACATGCTTATTAATTGGTACCACGTAACGAAGTCTTTTAGTGCATTCACTTGTCTCTAAAACTGCTATAGAAATGAAATTAGCAACTGCCAAAACGAATGACTCTCTCTGCGAAAAAATGTGGAAATGAAATGTCCTTCAGAACGATAGATTGATCTCCACGTGAGAGCCAATGTTAGTATTTTTTACGATTGATTATTTTAATAGAGAATAGATTTCAAATCGTTTTTGACAAAAAAGTATTCATTTTTACAAAACAAGTTGCAACTGTTATCGTCAGCATGTTCCCGTTCAGTTATAAACAGTGGACTTCTGGTCCCTATTTACACATAACCACTGGTGCTCAAACAAATGGACACAGGTGCTCGTCCAGTCTTGGGCTTACCCTACCTATCCCTTTAAAAGTGAAACTTTTTTTTTCGAGAAAAAACAATATTAACCCTTTATGATATACAAATACCGTAATTCAAAAAAAATTGTCATAATAAATTGAAAAAGAAAAAAACCCACAATTTTAAAGGGAAGGGATGATGACACACTGAGCAAGCCTTTCCTTTTAAAAGGAAACTTTATTTTTTTTTAGGGGAAAGCATGCAAAGTTCGAATTACCAACTAAACTATACCTGTGGGTAGGTAGTTGGGGATTACGAATAACTAACTACTAGCTGGTAGATGGTTATATGAATATACAGCTACCAACTATACCTACCAAATTGACGCTCCAATGGTGTATTATAATTATACACCTTTAGGTTTTTATCAATATCTAAGATTCGGCTATTTTTTTGGTGCTTGATGAACCGGGCGCTTTAATTAATATTTCTTAAAGATAGTAAATAGATATGATAAAATAAAAAAAATCATTGCTGGCCAGCTAAGATATACTAGATTTTGTGTCCACTTGTTTTATATATTATAGCCAAAGTGATTTTAGCTCCACATTGAAAATATTTATGGTTAGAGAAAAATGAGATATTCTAATGTATTTATAACTGCGATAAAAATGAATACATGTCCCCGTTTGTTCCCTCCGATCCCGTGTCCTAGAGTATCCCGGTCTTCAAGTCAAGTCAAGTAAATTTTATTTATAAGTCGGATTCATAAAACAATAAACATATATAAGCTCTGATTTAACTATTAATTTTTTTTACAGTTTTTGATGAGAGTTCAGTACATATAAAAATGGATCATATTCTTCAAGTGATTACCATTCAATAATTTAACTTTTTGTTGTTGTTGTTGTTTTTTTTCTATTACCGAAATAAACGCTTAATATTTCACTTAACGCCACTTTTCGCTACTTTACATCACTTTACGTACTTTAGGCACATCCGAGATGACAAAGATGTCTTCGTTTTGTTATTCGCAAATTACATAAGTAGAAAACAACTTTCCTTAGTCCTTGACAGGTTTTATTAAATTTAGTAGATGTGTTCTCATTGAAATCTAAAAGTGACATGGATCGCATATTCAAGGTTTGTTTTGTTAGTTTTCTGAAAGAATGATTTAGTGAACAAACGTACAGATTTGACATGCGAGAATTCGTACTCAATATAACTCGTACCCAAAACATACGGAACTGTGCTAGTGCTGTTTTAAATGTCATTTGTCGCTCTTAAAGGACCCCGGCTCGGTTTGCTTTGTACGCGCTGGGATCAAGGGTCACTGTTACTTTAAATAGAAAAATGGTTTCTGGAGGATACCATTAGTTAAGAATTTTTTTACACAGTTGACTGATTGATACTCGAATTATAGGTTGAGTTCAAATTTTGCTTCCGATCACTAAAATTTCCAAAAAGTCAAGGTTGCCGGAGGGAGGTATTAATTATAGCTCTAGTTATAACAAGTAGGGGTGAAAAATAATTGTGATTTTGTGCCATATATGCTTTGTTTTTAGGGTTTAGGCTCCAGAGAGTGGATATAAATTGCACAAGGGTATAGATGGATACCGAAAATAAGCTATTTTCGCGAAAATAAGATTGCGGCTACGAAAATAAGATTTATTTATGAAATAGTGCATTTGTCTGTTGAAATAATTATGTTAGTTATATATTTATGCATTCATTGAATGATTTTACAGCAAACTAAAATTTCAGAACCAAAAAAAAATAAATTTAAAAAGTGAAGTTTGAGCCGAAAAATACTATCATACGAAAATAGCTCAAATTGCCGTGTAAAGCGAAAATAAGATCGGGTCTACGAAAATAAGATTTATTTTTGATATAATGTATTAAAAACGTATTTTTGTTGTTAATAGTTGATTTGTATGAATGAAATAATAAATTTCAGAACCAAAAAAATAATTTAAAATAGTGAATTTTCGCATGCCTTCCCACTATACTATTTGGGATATTTACCATATGTACCGAACAAACGTCTTATATTTCATTACAAAACATTTCATTCTTTATTATTTCATTCATACAAATCATTTGATAACAACAAAAATACGTTTTCAATACAATTTATCAAAAATAAATCTTATTTTCGTAGACCCGATCTTATTTTCGAGCTATTTTCGTATGAAAGTATTTTCGGCTCAAACTTCACTTTTTAAATACTTTTGTTTGGTTCTGAAAATTTATTTGCTGTAAAATCATTCAATGAATGCATAAATATATAAGTTATATAATTATTTCAACAGATAAATGCACTATTTCAAAAATAAATCTTATTTTCGTAGCCGCGATCTTATTTTCGCGAAAATAGCTTATTTTCGGTATCCATCTATACCGATTGCACAATATAATATTATAGGAATTTGGAGGTTACGTACCATGGAGGTTACGTACCACTGCATAAATGTACCATTTTTGGAGGTTACGTACCACTATTGAAATATATTATAGATTACGTACCACTATAGAAATATATAATAAAGTGATAATAAGGGATAAGGTGTGAAACTATCAGGTTTATTGTTCAAATTCGCGCATTAATTGTATTAATTTTGTAATGAGATTAAATATGTATGAATATAAAAGAATAAAGAACAAACCAATTAACGATAATAAACAAGTTTTATTTACAACACAAAACTGAAACGAACAAACGATGACAAGTTTACATTTACAAGTTTTATTTACACGTTAACCGAACTGTGCATAAAATGAAAATAACAATAATTATGTTACAATTAACATAAAAAAAAATACTTTTTGAGTTTTATTTATCCGCACTGAATAATATAATATACTGAAATAAACAAGACAAAATAATTGATAACAGTACATATGCAGATTACGTTTTATTTACAGACTCATATATAAAAACACATAATTATGTTACACGCTCTGAAATGAAACAACAATACACAATGAACAAGTATTTTTTAAAATATTTTATTTATCCACACTTAATAATAATAATATACTGAAATAAACAAGACAAAATAATTGATAACAGTACATATGCAGGTTACGTTTTATTTACAGACTCGTATATAAAAACACATAATTATGTTACACGCTCTGAAATGAAACAACAATACACAATTAACAAGTATTTTTAAAATAATTTAATTTATACGCACTGAATAATAATAATATACTGAAATAAACAAGACAACATAATTGATCACCGTACATATGCCGGTAACGTTTTATTTACAGACTCATATATACAAACACATATTTTTCAGCTCCCCTAAATGCCCCTAAACCGCTCCTGTTATATGTTATGATAGAAACATATTATCTTGATGATTGTTTCTTTTGACGATAAATACTCTCTGAAAATATTAATATTAATAATATGATAAAAATTTAATCTTGATGATTTTTGATTTTTTTTTCTTTTGACGATAAATACTCACTTTTACGTTAAAACAATACCCGTTACTTGCGGTCAACATTTTCCCTCCTTTCTTGGTTCCCTTTTCCACTAGCTCATATTGAATGTCATGTTCTTCTGGGACGTCATCATCCATATGTGGTTCACGTACTGATCTGGAATAAAAAAAAAATGTTTTTTATTTGTTTCGATTATAATTTCAGATTCGCATTTCAGAAATTCACATATAAGAATAAACTTACACATCTAGTATTCTAGCAGGGCGTTGAACATCCCTATCAGGTATATTAAGTGGTCGATCTTCAAGTTCATCTGTGGTCACCCGTTGCTCGACTTCCATCAGGTCAGATTCAGCACTCGTAATGTCGTGTAACATTGCTGGAATTTGAAGGTGGTCTTCTTCTTCTTGTGAGTTGTCAACAACCTGAAATTAAATTAAATAGGTTTTAAGAAAGAAATTATGCATGCATGTTTTGTGTAAAAGTTGATCGCCGCGAAATTTCATTAAATTAAATTCATCAGTATTACTTACCGGAGACTTGCATATGCTACAGCTCCACTCGACCTCAATAACACCACGCACCATCATCCTGTAATCTGACTGTGTTATTCCTGAAAAATAAAGTTATATAAATAGTTATAAATTGAAAAAATGAAACGTAAACAGAATCTTTATTCAATTGTATGATAGTATGATATAAATAATCATCAAGAAGATTGATTTATTTACTTAAATCTTTACATAATAATGGATTATTAGAGGGTAATTATTTTTTTATGAACATTATAATAATTAATAAAATTAAAAAGACTACCTGTCCCACATAAACGATGCTGCCAATTATTACATTGGTCGCATTGTAAAGCATGTTGTCTTCTTGTAACTTCTTTAGAACAAACTAAACAGTGGGCTGATTCCGTCATACTGCTTTCTGTAAGTAATTACAATTGTGATATCGGACAAGAATTGCAGTATATTTATATGTTTATTAGAGTTCACTCATTTAAAGTTTGAGTTACACGTCAAAGCCGGATCAGAGTTGTGATAAATAATATATATAGATTATATATATGGTACGTATCCTCCAAAATATATAAGTGGTACGTAACCTCCAAAAATGGTACGTAACCTCCTGGTACGTATCCTCCGTGGTACGTAACCTCCAGTAATCTAAACATACGGTGGGGGGAAAATCCCGGGATCGCCTACAGAAAAGCCGGGATCCGGGATCGTATTAAACATATAGTAATCCCGTGAATTGAACACCAGTTCTCGGTGTCGACGATAAATTATCGATTATAAAAGATATGCTTGTTGACAATTTTAATGATGTTTTTTTTTTATTGTTGATGACTTTGATATATTTTGTATTTGAATGATTTTCGGTACTGTACATATGTTTTTTGGCTGGTCATCTCATATGTTTAATAATGAAAATGTTTAATTAATAACAGCCGTACTACAAATATTACAATTTGTACGGAAATAAAGTTTAGATTATAAGAAATAAATAGTTAACGTTTAATCGCCTCTCATTACGACAATAATCAACACAAATATAGTTTATGAGATTTCCCTATATATCTAATACGATCCCGGATCCCGGGTGTCCCGGATCCCGGGATTTTCCCCCCACCATATTATACATAATATTATATAAATTGTATTGAAATTAAAATATTTATGTGATGTTTGATGATTTTAATCAATGTATTAAAGTTATTTATGCAAAAAGGAAACATATAATCAGCTGTTGAATATTCAGGTGACCTTAAAGGCCCATTGGCCTTTTGTTAATTAGGATTTTTGTTAAAGGTTATGAACATTGTTACAAATGTCACAAAATTTTGTTATTGCCTAATTGAACATTTACTGCTCGTATGAATATAATCTAAATAAATACGTTTGCTTGATGCTCATTGGTTATTTTCATTCACAGCTATCGGATCAAGAAAAAGAAATCGTTAAAGAGATAAGAAGGAAGAACTTTTACAGTGCTGGTAAATATTTTAACTTTGTAACTTTTTATGTTTCTGGTAAAAATACATTTTAAGCTCACCTGGGCACCCCCAAAATCCACAATTTCTTTAGTTATAAGTAACAATCCATGCCTTTTTCCAGCGTCACCACAGGTCCGGATTGCCAGACCCATTTCCAATGGCAAATATGCTTATAATCTTTTCCTAATCTTTGAAAAAAATCCCAATTTAACTGAAATTCCTGCTATCAAAGCTGATAAATTTGCTGGAGTTCTTTCCAGTATGGTATAGATTTTAATGTAAATTTTATGCTTTGAATGATATTTGCATTGGTTGGAATAAACAATTCTGTACAATTCAAAATACTTTATATGAAAAATTATTTTTTTCGAATTAAGCAATTTTAAGACACAAAATTTCCCAAACTAGTGCTAGGTACTTTTTTTCAAAAGAGCTGGGAAGAGCACTGCAATTCTCCTATTACCTTATGTCATCTTTTGACCATCAATCTCTAGGTGATGCTCTTCAAAGTTATTTAAATGGTTATAGTCTAATGCATATAGACCTTCTGGACTCTTGAAATGAACACAAGGCTTTGGGTATGATATGGATTTGATATAATTGACTTTTTGGACTCTAGAAATGAAAATGAGGCTATATGGAGTGTGATATGGATCTGATATAGACTTTTTGGACTCTGGAAATGTAATCAAGGCTAAATTGATTATATTGGATCCAATACTGATTTCACGTTAAAACAACTATTCGTCTATCCGTTCATCACAAAACTTTTCTGGTTAACTCCTCAAAAAGTGTACAGGAATGAGTAGTACCAAGTCTAGTTGCTCATATCATCAGCATTTTCCAGTTCAGTAAATTTTGTCATTATGGCCTTTTAATGGTTTGGATTAAAATAAAGTTTGTTGTGATACTACATAAATGCAATTTGAATGAAACTTTACAGGATTTATTGGAAGCTCAGTACTTGGGCATATGAAATGGGTTTTCCAGTTGAATGATTTTTGGTTGAGTTATAGCCCTTGAATAAAAACCTTTTTTTATCCTGTTAATGATTTTTGTGTAACTTGCTACAAAGAAGTTACAATTTTATGTTTGTTTGTTTGGATTTTACGTCACACCGACACAGTATAGGTGATTCAGCGATGTTCCAGCTTTACTGGTGGAGGAAGACCTTGGGTGCACTATTTCAGGCATGAACGGGCACCTGAGTAGAACCACCGACATTCCGTAAGCTAGCTGGATAGCTTTCTCACATGAAAGAATCCATAGTCCCTGTCGGGATTCGAACCCACAGCAGTGAGGGGCAAGTGGTAAAAAGTAGTTACAGCATGCTATAAGACTAGCTGGCTGAGTGATATATATATATATATATAAAACAAACTGGTCGATCACCCCTCAATACAACTGCTTAATTGGCTATTCAAAGTTCGTTCAAAGTTTAAAGGCCCATTATGCATTAGAAATGATTTTATTTTAATTTCTCAAAAGCTAATTTGGGTGTTCATTTATATTGTCCAAAATTTACTTATTGTCTGATTACCTGAACCATCTTTTTTTCATCTGTTGCTTTTTGGCAATAACTACATATATAGTGAATAAGTACTTTGTAAGGAAGTCAAAATACTACTTTGTTTATATTTTGCTACTTTAATGACAAATTATTTAGCATTTATGTAACAAGCATATATTTTGAACATTCTCTAAAACCATTATTTAAACACTGAGTGTGAAATTTATGAATTACCTTTTTCTTAAGAAGTGAAAATTATTTATTTATGAGGCATAATGGGCCTTTAAAGCTGCACACCTCCAGATGAGCCAATATATTTCAAGAAATTCAATCTTTAGAAAAATGTATTAAGATCTTAAGAAAAGTAAAAATATTCAATATTTGATTAATTATTAACATGTCACGTGCGATTAATGACTGATTTTTCAGTTTATTTAATTTGACCTCTTTTTGGTAATTTACGTGGATTGTAAGTGCCTTTTGCAACGTGTAAATTACTTTCCTTGTTCACTTCACAATATTTTACTTCTAAATACATTTTCAAAATTTTCATGAAAATTAGCATGAATCACAATGAGTGGAGGCGTGCTGCTGTAAGGGATTTTAAATTCAAAGTAAAAGAAATTCAGCACATAAATAGCTAAAGTCAGGATTTTTCAAACTACCTATTAAATGTTAATGATTTTATTTTTTTCAGTTGTTCCATTAAGTTTAGGTAACATAATTATCTGCAGAATGTTAATTGTTAGAGGTAAGTCATACATGTACATTGTATTTCAATCAGTAATTATTTGAGCCGCGTCACGACAAAACCAACATAATGGGTTTGCGACCAGCATGGACCCAGACCAGCCTGGGCATCCACACAGTCTGATCAGGATCCATGCTGTTCGCTTACAAACTCTATAACAAGTAGAGAAACTGATAGCGAACAGCATGGATCCTGATCAGACTGCGCGGATGCGCAGGCTGGTCTGGATCCATGCTGGTCACAAACCCATTATGTTGGTTTTGTCGTGACGCAGCTCATTTGAAGTTCTGTACAATATATAGAGGATATTGAATGAGTGTAAGTTCAATATTGAATTTATTGCATGAGTTGAATAAAATTATATTATGCGAGCCTTAATAATTTCAGTAATGAACTTACACAAATTTAATATTCTATTTATCACATACCCAAAATAAAGACTGTTTAAATTGAAAAAAAGAGTCATTTTTCATTGACGCACCTATAGTATAATGCTTACATTTAGCGCATCTTTACACTTTGTTTGTATAACGCTAATGATGTCACATCAAAATATATGCACAGCCGTGCAATACCATTTTTATGGAGTCGCAAAATCGGCACGTGTGTGTATGTGTGTGTGTAAACTAAGTGTTTGAAATCATACATGCCATAATTTTTAGGCTAATTTCCGGGACACTTTTCATTTGGAGGTGAAATAATAATGAAATTATGTTTTGTCCAATAGGATTGCAGCATTTAAAATGAATCAGTGTACATTTACTTTGGTTAATTAACCAGTCTTGTAATCAAATAAAATTATTTCAAACACTTAACTGGTTCCATGCTTCTCTCTGGGCATTTTTTCACAATTTGGGCTTAATTTTGGGGAAAAAATTACTCAGTATTTTTACAAAAGGGGAAGGAATAACATTTTAAAGATAAATTCAAAATATTTTTAAAAAATGTAAAGAGAGTTATTAAGACTTTTATTAGTGAGTTGCCCAACGTTTTCTCAGAAAATAACAACAAACATGGTGTGACGTCATGTCTTAGCAAGCGACTTTTGTGGGCTTTCCAGAAAATCTATATTTAGATAAAAATGGTGAATATACTCAGAAAATCAATTTTAGGAGAAAGGACAGTGAATATATATTCGAAAAAATTACATCTTAACCAATCTAATCAGAGAAATACATCTTAAAGCTATTTATAGATCATATGATAAATATATATATTATAATTATATATTTCACCAAACTTAACACTACATACATGAAATATTTCTTTTGTTCTTTTTGGCAGGAAGGATTTCATCAAAGTATAGCCTACTTAAATACACAGGTTTGTTATCAAGTTTTTTCATTCCTCATTTTATGTTGATCATATATTAAAGCTGCATGTCGACTAGGGATGTCATGTTTCTCCGTTTATACGAGAATGGTCGGGGGTTTTTTAGCAAAAAACTGGTTAGAAAATTCAATAACTGGAAACAAATGTTAGTATTTGACTAAGGGGTTGAACATTTTTAAATTGATTCTAAATATTACCTTAGTTTTGTTATGACAAGATATATGACAATTGTTAATAATTTAGTTGTACTTTTTCCATCTGATCGAATACGGTACAACCATAGCGGAAAATAGTTACTCCAGACTGTTGAAATAGCAGTTTATTATAAATCCTAGGCAGTTATTCAAAAGTGCTCCTTGCATATATAATCCCGAAGTAAAATAGAACAAAAGTGAAGAAAATTCTTTTTATTATGAACACTTTCTTTGTACTAAATTTTTGCATGGCCATGACAAAACCAACATAGTGCGTTTAATGCAACCAGCATCAGGATACGTGCTGTTCGCTATAAGTTTCTCTACTTGTAATAGGGTTTTTAAGCCAACAGCATGGATCCATGCTGGGTGCTGTGTTGGTTTTGTCATGGCGAGGCTCCTATAATTAACACCCCAATTGGAAAATGTTACACTTCTATGCTCTTATTGGAGATTATATGGTAATAGCAGATTATTAATTTTAATGCAGAAATCAGCAGGCAGGCAGGCTACAACTTTTGGTTTCTGCTAAATAACTTAAGTTTGCTTGGGCCTATTGACACCAAAATTGGTGTAAGGGTAGCTTATATCAAGATGCAGCTTGAGATTGCTACCCAGGTGACTGTCATAAAGGTCAGTGTCACTGTTGCTAAAAATAGAAATTCAGTTTCCGCTCAATAACTTGAGTTTGCTTTGGCCTATTGGCACCAAACTTTGTGTATGGGAAGCTTATATCAAAACTGCTTGGGATTGCTAACCAGGTGTTTGTTTTAAAGCTCAAGGTCACTGTTGCTTAAATAAAAGTTCAGGGTTTGCTCAACAACTTAAGTTTGCTTTGGCCTATTGACATCAAACTTGGTACAGTGGTATATATGTAGCTTATATCAAGATGCAGCTTTTGCTACCAAGGTGTCTGTGTTCAAGGTCAAGGTAACAGTTTCTTAAAATATAAATTCAATTTTCACTCAGTAACTTAAAACTTGAGTTTGCTTTGGCTTTTTGACACCAAACTTGGTACATGGGTAGCCTATATCAAGACGCAGCTTGGGAGTGCTACCCTGGTGTCTGTGATCAAGGTCAAGGTCACTTTTACTTAGAATAGAAATTCAGTTTCCGCTCAATTACTTGAGTTTGTTTTTGCTTACTGATGCCAATCTAGGTAGCTTATACCAAGAAGCAGCTTAGGATTGCTATCTAGATGTTTGTGATCAAGGTAAGGTCACTGTTGATGTTAAACTTGTATTGGTAGCTTATATCAAAAAACAGCTTGGGATTGCTACCTAGATGTGTTTGATTAAGGTCAAGGTCATTGTTGTTTAACAATTATAAATTAAGTTTCCACTCATTTACTTCAGTTTGCATTGACCTATTGACACCAAACTAGTATGTGGGTAGCTATATCAAGATAACTACCCAGGTGAATATGATTAAGGTCACTATTACTAAAAATAGAAATTCAGTTTCCACATAATAACTTGAGTTAGCTGTGACCTATTTACAGCAAATTTGGTGGGTGGGTAGCTTATATCAAGACGCAACTCAAAATCGATTCCCAGATGTCTGTGATCAAGGTCAGAGCCACTGTTGCTAAAAATAGAAATTCAGTATCTGCATAATTACTTGAGTTTGCTTTGGCTTTTTGACACCAAATTTAGTATGTGGGTAGTTTATATCATGATGCAACTTGGGATTGTTAACCCGGTGTCTGTGAAAAAGGTCAAGGTCACTGTTGCTTAAAAACAGAAATTTAGTTTTCACGTTATAACTTCCCCGAGTTTTTTTCACCTGTTGACACCAAACTTGCTCTTGGGTAGCTTATATTAAGATGCATCTTGGGAGTGCTACTTAAATATCACATTTTAGTCTGCTTCCGGAACCAACCAGTACTTGTGGCATATTAAGACACATGGTCATGATCCGATTAGGGCTCGAACCCATGATTCCTGGGTTGAGAGGCAGACATGTTAACCACAAGGCCACAGCTACCCTGCATTATTTTGACACATACTGTACAATTTTTCCAGACAAAGCAGGTTGAATTGAAATATTTGTACTCTAAGAATGCACAATTGTTCACTATGGGTGCCAATTGTCTATACTAATGATTGTTAAAAGGACTCCACTGAGGTTTTTTGATATGAAGGGACTAGAAACAAGTTTTGAGATTATTTCTCCATTTGTTGTAGATCTATACTAATAACATATGTGCAAAATATCAGATCAATAGCTCGATCATTTTTTCAGAATAATTATTATGATAGTGAAAAATGACCCAAATTGAAAAGCATTTCAACGCTTTTTACTCAAATCAGACTGAGAATAGCACAAACATACATTTTTTTAAAAGGCATTTCTTATATATTTCTTAGTTTTGTATTTTTTATTTCTGTTTTAAGTGCTGGTGTTGATCTATGTGAAGCATTGAATTTTTATGTTTTTATCCTTTTAAACCTCAGTGGAGTTCCTTTAATGTTATCATTTATAAGGGTTAATATAGAAAGACGTTCTTGTAGGTGCTGTGACGTTAGGTTTTATGATAGGGAGAGCATCTCTTCCAGGCCAAATAGCCAGAGAGCTAGCGTTACGTTGCCCGGAAGGTGAATTTATGAAACTGAATGAAAAAATGAATAACCTATCGGCTGAAGAAAGAAGAAACCTTCTTACAAAGTAAGTTACAATTATTTCCTTGTTGCAAACGTACTTTTAATGAACAAAATCTCAACTTTTTCAACAATCTCAATATTTGACATGATAACTTTAGTCATGTATAAATTTAAAGTCTTGAACAAATGTCCCATTTCAAGCTTATCAAATAACTTGTATGATATGTTTTCAATGACAACAGTTATATGTTGATATGTTTTCGATTACAACAGTTATATGTTGATATGTTTTCAATGACAACAGTTATATGTTGACATGTTTTCAATGACAACAGTTATATGTTGATACGTTTTCAATGACAACAGTTATATGTTGATATGTTTTCAATGACAACAGTTATATGTTGATATGTTTTCAATGACAACAGTTATATGTTGACATGTTTTCAATGACAACAGTTACATGTTGATACGTTTTCAATGACAACAGTTATATGTTGATATGTTTTCGATTACAACAGTTATATGTTGATACGTTTTCAATGACAACAGTTATATGTTGATACGTTTTCAATGACAACAGTTATATGTTGATACGTTTTCAATGACAACAGTTATATGTTGATATGTTTTCAATGACAACAGTTATATGTTGATATGTTTTCAATGACAACAGTTACATGTTGATATGTTTTCAATGACAACAGTTATATGTTGATATGTTTTCAATGACAACAGTTAAATGTTGATATGTTTTCGATTACAACAGTTAAATGTTGATATGTTTTCGATTACAACAGTTACATGTTGATACGTTTTCAATGACAACAGTTACATGTTGATATGTTTTCATTATATAGAATAAGGAAAGGTGAACAAGTATCACCGGATTTATTGGCAGGATTCCAGCCATCACCACAAGATGCTGAACAAACAAGTACCACAGAACCTGTGTTTGAATCCACAGGTAATGACATAAGTATAGAGGGAAAGAAAAATGTTAAAGATGATAAAGAGGCGTTGGCATCCGTGGGGACATGATTATGTCAATGTTTTTAAACCACTTGCGCCTCACTGCTGTTGGTTTGAATCCCAACCGGGGACTTCGAATTTTTTCGTGTGAGGAAGTTATCCAGCTAGCTTACGAAATATTGATGGTTCTACTCAGGTGCGGGTTTCTCATCTGAAATAATGCTCAGAGGGGCACCTGAAGTCTTTCTGCACCAGCTAGTAAAGCTGAAAAGTCGCCATATGACCTATACTGTGTTGGCGCAGTGTAAAACCCAACAAAAAAAATGATTAATAGGCAAACTTTCAACTTATTTCGTTATCAGTTTTATATGTTAAAACAACACCTCTTAGTTTGTGACATGGAAAGGAGCTAAGCGCATTGATTTGATTTAAAAAATGTGTTTTAAGTTAGTTAATCATGCAATATTATATAGATTGTATATAGAAAAAAATTACCAAAAAATTTCTTAATGTTTAGGTCCTCTTTTTTTCTCTATTTCCTCTCTCTCTCTATATATATTTATACATTATTTTTCTTTTTATGAAACTTTCATACTGATAAAGCTATTGCCAAATACAAAAAAGCTGTAATTTTGCAATAGTAATAGACATTTACAGACCTTAGATATTACCTATGATGTATCATAATATTACTTACCTAAAATTGACCTCTGGTTATATATTTTTTGCCTGTAGCATTATATGCAAATTATATGCAAATTATATGCAAATTCAGCTATGAACAAACATTTTTAGTGAAAATCAAGCAAAAATTTGATCAATGAACTCCCCCCCCCTTTCCCCCACCCTAAATTCCCCAGGTAAACTAGTAAACTCCTTATTAGATTCTCATTACCCTTTGTCAAAATGTGACCCCCTCTGGTAAAAAATGCTGAATCCACACATGAGCAATCTCTGTGTGGTTCACTGGCAATTTTACATAAATCTTTCATAAAGTCAAATTTGGCCCTGCCTATGATCAAGGTACTTTTTTTAGAAATGTTTTCCTTAGTTTTCAAGGTTGCACCATCTGTAAACTTTAGTGTTTGACCTTGAATGTGACCTACCTCTGCATTAAAGTAATCATGACTTTTTCCAGAAGTGTAAAGTGTCCTAGTGCTTTCATGGCCTTCCTGTTTAAAGATCCTGTAACACATTTTTTTCATTGTTTTATTTCATAAATATGATGCTCAAATTAAGATTTGTCAATATTGTAAGTTCCAATAAGCATTATTTATAAAGATATTACCGATTTTAATATTTCATGTAAATAAAGGGAGATAATTAGAAATTTATTTTCTATAAATTCTAAGTCAAATTTTCCAATAAGAAATGAATGCATATAATTTATTGATTAAATATAATGTGCTTAAATATTTGCAGTACATACTTTACATATTCTTGGATGTTTGAAAATTGTTTTACTTGCATAATTATATACATATATATTTTTTTGCAAGTGTGGTATACAGACAGTAACAATATCAATCACAAAACATACAGGATCTTTAAGTTATGGCCTTGACAGTTTAAGTCACTTGCCGAGATTTGTATGTGAGAAAGAGACCTACTTTAAAGCTACATGCCTCCAGATGAGTCAAAATATTTCAATAAAATCAAACTTGAGAAAAATGTACTAAAATGTAAGGAAAAGTAAAAAGTTTCTAGATTCAAGTAATATTTTACATATTATGTGCGATTAATGACTGATTTTTCAGTATTTACAATAAATTTCTACTGCATTACTAACACAGTTAAGGCTATTTATGCATATTTTGACCACACTTTGGTAGTTTACGTGGATTGTAAGTGCCATTTACAATGTGTAAATTGCTTCCTTTTGTTTACATCACAATATTGCACATTCAAATACAATTTCAAATTTTTCATGTAAATTGTTATGAATCTGGAGGTGTGCTGCTTTAAGAACTTGTAAGCTTTAGCTTTCAATCTAGGAACTGTTTATCAGCTAAATAATACGTTTGGAAGATAATATTTATAATTTTCATGTAAATTTTAACAGATCAACAAGCAAGTGGCGAACAACCTCGAAAGACAGATTCTGATAAGCCTTCATTTTCCTATGCTGAACAGAGGGGAAATTATAATAATAGTGCTTCAATAAACAAAAGTAAGTGAAGATTCATGTGACAGCATGGTTGTTTGGTCACACCAACTACAAATGAGCCGCGTCACGACAAAACCAACATAATGCGTTTGCGACCAGCATGGATCCAGACCAGCCTGCTCATCTGCGAAGTCTGATCAGGATCCATGTTGTTCGCTTACAAACCCTATAACAAGTAGAGAAAGTAATAGCGAACAGCATGGATCTTGATCAAACTGCCCGGATGCGCAGGCTGGTCTGGATCCATGCTGGTTGCAAGCCCATTATGTTGGTTTTGTCTTGACATGGCTCTTTATGTCTTTTTTAGCTCACCTGAGCACTTAAGCACAAAGTGCTCAGAGGTGTGCTTTTGTGATGGCAGTGTGTCCATCGTCCATACCATGTTGATGTCCGCTATTCCTCCTCCTAAACTATCTGATATATTTTGACCAAACTTCATTTGAATGATATTTAGGTGGCACTCTAGAAAAAGTAGTTAAAGTCTAATGCACAAGTTGCTCATAGAAGCTTACAACGAAATTTTTAAAATCCTTTTCTCAGAAATTACCATATCTACAGCCTAGATATTTGGCATGTAGCATCACCTTGTGGTCCTCTACAATTTGTTTATATCAGACCCTTGGGGTCAAAATGACTCCGCCCTAGGGTTACTTCATTTACATAGGCTTAAGTAGAAAAATACATTTAAGTCTTCTGTTATGAAACTGTAATGCCAAATAGCTTAGATATGTGACTTGTAGCTTTGCCAAGTAGACCTCTACAAAAGTTAAATACTCCCACCCCCCTCTAACATAGACTTGTATAGTACCATTGTCTTTAAAATCTTCTTCTCTGAAAGTACAAAGCAAAGAGCTTAGGTACTTTGCATGAAGCATCACGTTTTTGTCCTCTAGAAAAGTTATGTAAATCATGCCCCTGGGGTGAAAACTGACCCCACACTGTGGCCAGTTAGTTTAGTATAGAGTTGCTATAGAAAATGTATTTTTAAAAAATCTTCTTTAAATAACAATGCAAAGATAAAATGATACAATTGATAAATA